GAGAGAGAGAGAGAGAGAGAGAGAGAGAGAGAGAGAGAGAGATTGAGCGATACAAGATTGGTTGTCACATACCTGTGAAGATCGCTGTGCAGTCCAACGAAGAAGAAGAAGAAGGCCATAGCTGCGGTGCTCCACCACAGCGTAACGAAGGAGGTGAAAGAGAGGACAGAAGGAGAGACCGAGGAGAGGAGTTGAAGCGGAGGAAGAAGAAGGGAGAGACGAGAACAAAAAAAAAAAGAAAAAAAAAGGAAGAAAGAGAGAAGACAGCCGGGGGAAGAAGGAGGCGAGGCAGGTAAAAGGAAGGAGAAGCCGGCCGCCATAGCCGGATGAAGAGTTGACTGGAGTTGACCGGAGTTGACCGGAGTTGACCGGAGTTGATTGGGGGTTTGACTGCATCATTGACCACGTGTTGACCAAGACTGTTGACCACGATTTTGACCAAGCTGGGGCCAGTATAATCTCGCCAAGCCTTCAGTCTATCCCCTCGCCTCTGGATGTGCACACACCTTGTGGTACTTGCTGAGTCAAGTCTGTCTATCTCTTCTTTCTGTATCGAGTCTCTTCTGTCCAGGTGATAGGACTCTGTGGATGAAGGATAGGGCCTTGTTGACCAAACCCACACGGGCTGAGTAGGGCTAAAGACTGTGTCTGACGACTCGATTGTCCCGAGGACACGAACCCTCCCAAGGACCGGTACTGATCGGCGGGCTGCTCGGTGTGGCATGGTAGGCCCAAAATCCGAGTTGTGGGCTGCACAACAGGCCATCTAAGTTTTGAGAGGACCTGCTGATCACGTCGTCTTGTTTGCAACGTTAAAGAAGTCCTGAGGAGTTACGGGGGATCTCCTTAAATGCCTCCTGATCACCAACAGGTCGGTCCTGTAGTAACAACCTTAGTTTAGGTCGAGGCTAGTGACCCTAGTTGACAGGATCCTGCCCGGATTCTGTGGTCCATAGATTGAGTCAGTAGGTGGTGTCAGTCAGGGGGTAGAGTCTAAGTGGTGAGGAGTGGAACCGTTGTCCGGTTGTGCACTCGACACCATCGTTGAAACACGTACTGGTAAGAGTACGGCCCCACAGTCAGCAGCTGAACAGGAACGGATCGCCGCCATCCTGAGAGAGAGAAAGGAGAAGAAGGAGCTCCTCAAACAGGCGAAGTTGAAGGTGATAGCTGAGGAGCAGGGGGCGAAGAAGAAGAAATTGGAGGAGGAGATGATAAGATTACAGTAGGAGGAAGAGAAAAAGAGGGCTGCCGAAGAAGAAGCAGCAGCAGAGGAGGAAGAAGTAGAAGAAGAACCCCTTGAGAGGAGGCGTAGGGAAGAAAGGGGAGAAAGCAGTGGCACGAAAGCAGAAGATCAGTGGATGGAGAAGAAGAACAGTGAGTGGGTGGCTAATTTATCATTGGGGAAAGATGAAGAGGCAATGTTGTACGTGCCTCAGGAGGAGAAAGAAGCGATAGCCAGGCAGTTGGAAGCTATGGAAGATCCCTTGGATCGCCAGAGGCTAGAGGATGAAAAAAAATTGGGGTGGAAAATGCGTCTGGCAAGGGAGAAGAAGAGGAGGAGGGAGGAGGCCAACCGGATAGCCAAGGACGTGGAGAAGGTTCAGTTGTGGAGGCAGGAGGTGCAAGCGCAACAAGAAACCCCGACTAAATTAGACAAGATTCTAAGTTGTCTTGAGATTTTGAGTCAGGCCTGGTTTGAGCAACATCAGGCCAATAAGGGTCAAGAAGTGGCCCTCCATGCCATCCGGACTGGGTTTAGAGAACTTGCGCGCGACGTGGTGACCCACGTCGGGACCGAAGTGAAGAGGTTAAAGGAAGGCGCAAACAAGTTTTGTGCAGGCGCCATTGAAGGCGCCAAAGTAGTGGCCACAACAGAGGCTGAAGCGCGTCCCCGCAAAGAGCCAGTAAAGCTCAAGTTTCTAGATGCATATGGCGGGAAGGCTGAAGAAAATTTCGATAACTGGGAGGCTAGCGTTAATAGTTACGTGTATTTACAGCACATTGCACCTGAGGAGCAGGTCATGGTAGTCTTTCATGCTTTAAAGGATGATGCGGCTAGCTTCGCTAGGTCCCTAGCGCGTGCAGCCAGTTGTGAGAACAACATGGTTGCCTATTCTAAAGTCACCTCCCTTCCCCATTTCTTCAAGCTCCTCTAAGAGCGATTGGCTGATCTGAGGCGTGATGTTAAGGCCTAAGACAAACTCCAGAACATCCACTCATGACAGTGGAGGAGTGCGCGAACACTCAAAGCCGTTATGGACGACTTGGTAGCCGTCCCAGACCACGGGTTCACGGAGGCCCAGTTGTCCAATTGTTTTATCGTGCCATGCCAGAGCCCTTATGAGGGCATTTCTTTGACAAGAGTCAACAGCCCACCATGACGTATGATGCTTT